TCGAGACATAAACAGCGTCCGAGAATAAGGCTTTGGGCAACAAGTTAAAGTAAAATTTAAAATTTAAAATTTAAAAAAAATCCATCTCCAACTTCAGCTACTAGCAAAGGCAAAAAAGCCTGGAATAGTATATAGGCGAAAGCCGTGCTACCAAGTAAGTAAGTAAGTAAGATGCATGGTAAACACTTGACGTTACTGATGAAGAACTCATGGAAGAACTCCAGGATATGGGGTTCAAACCAAACTTTGTCAGAGCTTTTGCCAAAAATAACAAGAGACTTCCGATCCACATGATTTCCTTAAAACGCACAGAAAACGTCAAAGAAATTTACGAAACAACCGAACTATTCTACGTCCGAATCAAAGTAGAATCATACAAATCAACAGGTCCTGCGCAATGTTTTTCCTGTCAACGATTCGGCCACTCATCGCTTCAATGTGGTTTCCCACCAAGATGTGTAAAATGCGGAGAAAACCACCMTAGCAAAGAATGTAAAAAACCAAAAGAAGGTAACCCAACCTGCTGTAACTGTAATGGTAAACACACTGCTAACTATAGGGGTTGCCCCTACTACGTTAATACTTGCAAAGAAAAGACTGACCACTCCAAAGACATATATGAACGGGCACATCACTACAACAACGCAAAAAGCAAAAGGGGTCAGAGCTTCACTCTACCCGGTGTTAAATCCGAGGTCACCAATTCCACTGAGAACAAAAATCCAAATTTATACCATCTACATCAAACCGATCCTTCTATATGCATCGGTTGCCTGGGCGCCTCAACTGAGCCAATCAAATTGGCGGAAGTTAAAGGTTGTCCAAAACACCACATTACGAACCATTACAGGAGCATTCTACCTCACAACAAACGCTGAAATTAGACAATCAACTGGTGTACTATCCATTTCAGAGACAATACGGTCGATAATGGGTACGTTTATACATAGGGCGTCTGTGTCCAAGTTTAATCACATCCGGGCTTTGACACAGTAAACAGCGCTGAGTGACAGACCGTCCAAAACAGTGAGGATGAGATCAATTTAGGGAGAAAAGGCAAAGCCTGGAGCTCTATATAGGCCTTAGGCCGTCCAACCAAGGCAAGTCCAAGATACATGGTAGTAAACTTCCACCCACTAGTAGAGGCATAAGCCTAGAATAGTTAAAGGCGTAGCCACCCCCATCAAAGCTATAGGCATAGCAAAGGCTACAAGATTAATTTCCGATCGACATTCGCACTGACGAAGTAATAACAATTATCAATAAGCGAACTCTAGTCTTAACTTTCTGTTAATTTTTACGCCGTTTTGGTACCTACGACAAGCCGATGCCAATTATGCTTTAGTATACATCGCTGCCCCCCAAACGCGAAAGGCGAAAGACATTTCCCTTATAAAGTTATACGTTATCTGTTTTACCTAATACCTTAAAATAGTAAAAATGTCCGTCGAAGCTCCAAAATTCTTCGGTCCGACTCAGTGTCTTTATCATAAATCTTACTTAATAGAAAAAGGGTCAAAATTCTTTCAAAATATAAATGCTGACTTTTCCTTAACAAAAAAATATTATGAAAATCCTAAGGTAAATCGTTGTTTGAACAAAACTGCATTTTTCTATACAAAGCCTAATGGTGATTGTTGTAATAGAGGATGGTTACTTTATTCGCTGACTAAAAAAATGGTTTATTGTTATCATTGTATTCTCTTTTCTAAAAATAACATAATGTGTGATGGGTATGATGATTGGCGAAATGTTCAAAAATTTCTTGAAAACCATGCGAAAAAAGGATATCATGTCTTGGCATTTTGGCAATTAGTATGTACCTAAATAGAACGAAACTATCGGGTAGAATAGATAGTAAATTAGAAAAACAGTTAACCGAAACACGTGACTATTGGAAAAACGTGTTAAGACGCATAATTGAAACAATATTATTTTTATCGGGACGTGGTTTACCATTTCGAGGTTCGGACGAACACTTCGGGTCAAATCATAATGGAAATTATCTTGGAATATTGGAGCTTCTTTCAAAATTTGACCCATTTTTAGCCCAACATATCGCTGTACACGGAAATCAAGGAAAAGGACACACATCTTATTATTTGTCCAAAACTATTTGTAACGAATTTATTGCACTTATTGCAAACAAAACTCGTACAATGAATATAGATCAATTAAAAAAAGCTGGTTATTTTTCAATAAGCGTTGATTTTACTCCTGATATAACCCATATGGATCAACTAACAATTATTTTGAAATACGTAAATAATGATGGACCAGTAGAACGTTTCATTACTTTTATTCATATTACAAGTCATACTGGTGCAAATCTTGCTTTGTGTTTACTTAACTTTTTGAAAGAAAATGATATTAACATAGAAAATTGTCGTGGGCAGAGCTATGACAACGCTAGCAACATGAGTGGGACTTATACTGGTATGCAAGCAGAAATAAAAAAGTGCAATTCATTAATTGATTATATTCCGTGTATTGCACACTCGTTGAATATCGTTGGACAATCTGCTGTAGATTGTTGTGTTGAAGCAGTTTCATTTTTCGGTTTTGTCCAAGAAGTTTACAATTTTTTTTCCGCCTCTACCCAACGCTGGGATATTAAAAAAAAAAAACATTAGTAAAAAATTGTCCGGTTCCTAAATCCAAATCAGTTACTAGATGGAGTGCAAATGCTGAGGCCGTTAAAGCGTTATTTTTAAGTTACGAGAATATTAATGAAGCGTTAAGAAAAATTCAAAATGATACATTACAAAAACAATCAACTCGGCACCAAGCTTCTTGTTTAAGCTCAATACTCGGTCATTTAGAAACTGGCATTATGTGTGAATTATGGCATAATATTCTCGAACCCTTTAATAAGTGTAGTAAAAGCATTCAGAGTGGTATAATTGATTTATATACTGAAATTAACTTAATTGAAAGTCTTAAAATTGTCCTTCAAAATATAAGAAATCAATATGATGAATATGAAAGCAATGGTATGAAAAGAGCTAAGAATGAAGACTATAAATTAACTAGGCATAGAAAAAAATTTAAGAGAAACGAGAGTAGTTTTAATGAACTAAATGCAAAAGAATCATTTAAAATAAATACTTCTTATGTTATAATTGATCAGCTTTATAGTGTTTTGGTACATAGAATAAACGCTTATACTACCGTAAGGGATAATTTTAAGTTATTATCAGACATTTCAATGAACATGCAAATTGAAGACATAGAAGGAGGAATGAAAAAGTTATTAGAAAGGTATCCAAAAGATTTCCCTGATGATTTTACAAATGAGTTAGTTTTTCGTCAACGTCTTTATCATTAATTACAACGAACGAAAATAAGAATAAAAATATTTTGCTTAACATGTATAAGATGATAATTGATTTAAATGTGACCGAGAGTTTTCCAAATATTGAATGGTTGTTACGTTTATATCTTTCTCTTATGTGTACCAACTGTACAGGAGAAAGATCATTTAGCCGATTAAAATTATTAAAAAACGTTTTAAGATCTTCATTATCACAAAATAACCTACAAAATCTTGGAATTTTAAGTATTGAAAGTGAATTTGTAAAATCTCTAAACTTTGAAGATGTGATCCAAAATTTTGCAAATTAGAAATCCAGGAAAAAAGAATTATGTTTATCAAAACAAGTTGTAAGTTGCGACGATGACAGCAGCGACTAATGCTTTGCTTTGCTTTGCTTTGGGAGGGGTGGCTATGCCGTTTACTATTCCAGGCTTGTGCCTCTACTAGTGGAT